ACCTTAACATACAACTAGGTTCCTCAACACCTTGCAAGTACAGATCCTACCTAAAACAGTCCTATTAAATTGGCTTCAGTTGGACCTAAGGAAAACTGTGTCATGATAAATGATATGTAAAAGGATAATCCTAACCAAAACATTGCCTAAGATTTGCATCTCAAAAAACAGTAAGTTTGTTTCTTCAGGTGGATAAATTGAAAAAAAAAAAAAATTAATACATTCCTCACAGCTTAGAAATAAGAAAAATAACTTATAATACTTCGATTAGTAGAAGATTTTCCACTAAAGCATAGAGAGAGGAGAAGCATTAATTTTTCCTACTTTTGGTTTATTGAACATTTTTGGTCTAGTGAAAGGGCTTTGCCTGCAAAGTGACCTATACGATTCTGTATAGAAACAAGCATAACATTTTATGCATTTATCGGAACTGTAATTTGTTCTTGAATAAAGCTTTCTTATGCCCTTTGGCTGCTGCTGTTGTGTATTTAAGGGTCATAATGTCCTGTCCAAGCTGCAGGCACACCGGAAGACTATATAAAATGTCGCAGTAATTCAGAGCATCTAAGTGGTGTGGGCAGGTCAATTAGTTTCAGAGCACTGAACAGCACCAAACTTTTGACAATACTCCCATCTCAGTTTCTCCACTGTTCCTTTCCATTTTATTTTACTTGAATAAGTGTGGCCATAAGCCACTGGGATTGACTAAATCCCTCTGGAATATTAATTGAGAGATAAGATATGCTTTTGCTCAGCACCTCAGTGCTTCACTAGTGCACCAGTCCCATGGTGCTTCATTAACTTAATTTCCAAGTGCTTCAAACAGAAATTAGGTGATCCAGGAGCTCTTCCAAGTTCCTATGCCCAAAGGTGCCCCGGCCATTTTAATTTTTTAGGAATACCAAAAGACGTGTCCATTCTTCAGCCCACTTAACTTAAACACTGCATTGACTTCAGCTTCCATCAACGAATAGTGGTGGAGTAGCAAACACAGGCACGTTATGACCCTCCAGGTACAGAATGGGGAAGGGAAGTAGACTGTTGGGTAGGGGTTACAACCTTCCACTGTGCTCATTTCCAAACTTACGTTCCCTATATATTATAGGGGAGAGCTGGGCATTCCAGAATGGTATCTACAACAGCCAGCATGCTGAGGGCAACTTGGCAGGCATCTGGGTTTGACTTGACAACGTGACAGAGTACCCTGCTCAGAGTATCAATAAAAGCAGGGCTCTTGCACAACAGGGCCAGACTGCATAGGATAGTATGAGCAGGAGACAGGACTAATATCATAAATACTGGCATTTTTTTTAGTATGTCTTGTCATTTGGAGGGTTTTTGTATCTTATAAAATTTCAAAGCATGCTACTGCTGTGTCATTGGTGTATTGCTCTTTGCAACCAACACTTCTGCTTTCCACAGGGCCCATCTAGTGGTCTTGTACTAAGATTTCCTAGTGCAATGGGCTCTGCAGATGAGGTCACTCAAAGTCCAGTGTCTGGAATTCATCCTAGATGTAGGTTTTGTCTGCATCAGCAAGTAGTGTGGTGCAATAGGAGCAGTCCTGTAGAGTGCTTGCACTTGCTGTTGAGAACAGGCTGCCCATACTATATGTGGACATGGACACAACATAACTACAGACTTTCTGTCTTAAACATCAGCTGTCTCCCAGCCTGGCACCTGAGCAAGGGTTCTGAGGATGAAAATCCGTGCAGAGCCCAGAGGTCATATCTGCATGCAAAGTTCCTCTCTGTTCATGGACCTAAAGGTACAGCCTCATCCCAAATGCGATGACCGAACTGAACGGAGAGGTTTTTCCAAAACCATATGGTGATTTTAAGAGGTGGAAAAAAGACTCCAGCAAAGTCAAGTGTATACAAAGTTTCAGGCTTGTCCTCAAGCCAACAGCTGGGGTTCAACCACACTCTTTGGGGTTGTACCTCCGTAAACTGGAAAGAAACACAAGAGCACAGAGATATGTAGTAGTCTCCCCCCCCCCTCCACAGGGGGACATGTCTCTCTGAAGAGTCTTCATAGCCTTTCAGAGAGTGTTGGGTATTGGGGTACAATATTTCTTAAAATAAATCTCTTAAAATAATGGCTTTTACCTTTTTTTTTCCCCTCACGTTTGCCCTGCTGGTGTTGCCCACCCTGGCGTGTGCCCTGTGGAGGATGGCACGGCACAGCTCTGTGTGCAGCAGCCACGGCGAACCAGGTGTCGAAATCATCGCTTTGCCTCCTCACCGCACTTTGTAGCAAGTTAAAAGAAATATGGGGTGGCAGGATATCTAGGACATGCAGGGAGAGAGGGGGAAGGCAGAGGGGAGGTGGACACGTCTGGACCGACTGACAGACCTCATCGAGAGAGTGGCAAGCGCCTGGGCAGCGGCTTCGGCACCCGGGCGGGCTCCGGCATCTCCAGCCTCGCCCGGGCGTGATGGCAGGAGGGTCTTACCCCTGGGCGGGGGAGAGC